CCTTGATTTGTCTATGTCGAGCAAGAAAATTTTGAAATCGCATATTTTCATCTATGACAATTTCAACTTTGGGAGTTGGTGCTTCCATCTGATTCTCAATCGATGCATCAACATTACGATAATTTTCTTATTTTTCATCATTTTTTGAATTATATAATTATTATGAATTTATTATTATAAATAATAATCAAATTAACATAAATACAAATAACAAAAATAAAAAATAAAATATATTTTATAGTATATGAACACTACTACACTAAATTGATGTAAGTGAACAGTATTACGCCAAATTTGATATGATACTATTTACTTACACTAATGTGATGTAGTGTTTAGCTCTAGGTTGGAGCATATTTTTCACACTATTTTTATGTTTTGGCGTTGGGTTAGAGATGCCCTTGGAATTAATATTAACAGTAGAAAAAAAATTGAAAATAAATGTGGGAGGTGGTGCCCAGATCGCCGACCCAATTTCATGTTTTAAATATGAATATATCAATATTACTTTAGGGAAGTGACAAGAAGGCCCAGCCGATGGGCCAAAAAATGGGCTTATGCTTTGGCCCAGAGCTCTGACCAGTGAAATTTTATTTTTCTTGTAAATTTTTCATCCTTCTAATTTTCTAAACGCATTTCTATCTATATATATATATAATATCCTGAAGCATGACCTATTTTATTTACAGGTAGGATTTTTAAAGCTATGAAATTAGTGGATTTTGACATGTTAAATGATTGTTCGACACGTGATTGCACCAAGTTATAGATTTAAAACGATGCATGGAAATTTGTTCTAATAAACTCCATAAAATTTCAAATTATGTTTGTAAATCTTTATAATGATTTTCATGTAGTTATATTTTGGCGTTTCTTTGCGATAGACTGAAAAATATTTGACTAACCTTTTTTTTCTTGTGATTAGTTACAATAATCTCGCAACAACACAATTATATAAATTGTCTCACAACAATCTCAATATTATTAACTTACATTGATACTTTGTCGTTGACACTAAGATTTCTATTTATTATGTAATATTTTTATTTAATAAATTTATCATTAAAATATTTCATTAGCCGTTTTATATGTAAGTTATAAAAGTTTATAAGAACACAAGAAATTTCTCAAAGATGAGTTCTATTTGTGACCACCAAAACGACTTAAATGTGTGTCATATTGAAGTTTTAATTCTAGTTGAATATGGTTAAGAAATACTAATGGGTTAATTACTTTAATATACGGAAATATTAGTGTTAGGTTAACAATTGATTGAGATTCTAAACATTAGTTATCTACCCTTTTGACTAGCTTAATTAAATAAATAAATCCAATTAACTAATTATTTAATGTCGATTTTCAATTCAAGATTAGATGAAAAGGTTGAACTAACAATGAACTACAATTTTGATCTCAAAAACTATATAAGCCCACGTAAATCCTTTGTTTCTTCACTCAAGAATTCAACAAATTTTTACATNCATGACTTGTTTCAATTATGTTGTCATTTTGATTTATACAAATCTCTTCTTGATGAACAATCTGTTCATCTCTAGTATTAGAACTGGAAGTAGACATTGATCTAGAAAAGTTTTCCATTTTGTGAATCACTTATTTCTTTCCCTACAGTGGTTAATCAAAGGGACTTACAACGGTTAGATCCTACAGCCCTACACAACCCAAAAAGACTCGGTACTCAAAATAATTAATAAACAAAATTTAAACAATCCTAAATCCCTGCCTCCTCCTCTGCCATATACCTGATCGCTTAAGCGATCTGCTATAAGTTTGGTATATGGCAGTAGATCGCTTAAGCGATCAGGTAAATGGCAGAGGATCGCTTAAGCGATCATGCTTATTTATACCAGATCGCTTAAGCGATATAATGGATCATTTAAGCAATCCAGTAAGCGATATACCAAATTGCTTAAGTGATACACCAGATCACTCAAGCGACTCTACATATGCTTTTTAAAATCTGTCAACCCTTAATACATCACTTAATAATTTTTTTTCTTGCATTATAGGTACTTGACTATTATAAGACATGAGACAAGTTGTTTTGGGTGTTGAATATTTTGGTGAGTGGGTGAAGGAAGGAAGTTGTTGGAAGTGGATTGGGAAGATCAAAGAAGTTATACCAATGACTGTGAGCACAAATGTTAGTTTTGATGAGTTGATTGATGAAATAATTATAAGAGGTTATTTGAGTTACTCAAGTAGTGATATAGTTGTGAAGTATATTTTAAGCAGAGTTCCTGAACATTATAGGTACTTCCTGCTATATTAAAGTCGGATGAAGGTGTGAAGTTATATATTATTGATGTGGCTGATAATGGTTCGAGGCTGATTTTAATGGTTTCTTTTGTAGATAAACCGTTGGAAGTTGGTTCAAAGGAAGAGGATAACAAGGAAGTTGGTAAAGAGAACGTTGGTTTTAATTTGAACTACGAGGGCATTGATTCTTAGTTGAAAAATCAAGAGTAGGCGGTGATTTGGGTAGTGAGGAGGACACTATAGAAGATGTTGGTCATGTGCGGCAAAATGAAAATGTTGACGAGGAAGACCCCGTATATGTTTCCACAGATGTAGAGATTCCTCTAAATACAGATTATGCAGAAGGTGTAGTTTGTGAGGAAGAGAACACTATGGTCCTTTATGCAGGTTCAAAGGCGGCAATTGCAGGTAGTAGTGAATCAGCTCATGTTTTTACTAATGGATTAAACTTGTACATAGGGTATTTATTTTACAACAAAGAGGAAGTGGTGAGAAAGCTAAAACTTGTTGTCGTGAGAGGTAATTTTGAGTTCATCACCAAAAAGTCTAATTCATCAATAGTGACAGTTGCATGTCGTGACCGAAAGTGCAAGTGGTGGGTTTATTGTAAAAGGTTGGCGGAGTCCGGAAAAATTTATTATTAGCACATATACTCGTCAGCACATATGTGGGTTGGGACATATTTCAAGTGAGCATCGACAAGCCTCCGCTGATGTTATTAGACAATTTGTCAAAATTTAGTTTATTGAAGAGAAATTCCATCTCCTAACGACATTCAGAGACCTGTGCGCACAGAGTTGGGATGCACTGTTAGTTACTGGAAATGCTGGAAAGGGAGACAACATGCACAAGATTTTGTGAGAGGCACGCTGGAGCACAGGTACGCAGTATTAGAAGCGTACCATTATATGCTTGAATTGACAAACCAAGGTAGAAAGACGGCTTTGAAGTGGGACAAGAATATGAGGTTTAAATATTTTTTTGTTGCTTATGGTGCTGCTATAAGGGGTTTTGTAAACATGAGAAAGGTGTTGGCTGTTGATGGTTGCTTTTTAACGGGAAAGTATGGAGGTAAATTGTTGGTGGCCACTGCACAAGACAGTGAGAATCACACATATCCCGTTGCATGGTGTGTGGTTGACTTTGAGAACAACAAGTTGTGGACTTGATTTTTTTCAGCAATTACATACAATAGTGCCTGACAGTGATGAGTTGTGCATAATATCTGATAGGCATAATTCTATAAAGAAGGGGATTGCCACTATTTACCCTCAAGCACATCACGAATTCTGTATGAGGCACCTTGGTGAGAACATAAAACAAAAGTTTAAGTGTGTTGGCCTCCTTTAAACATACTACATGGCAGCAAAAACTTATCGAGTTGATGGGTTCGAGGAGCACTTCCAGTAAATCCGAATCAAGGATGATAGAATTGCTAAATATCTTGAGTATGGTGTTGGTTTCGAGCGATGGAGTAGAGCTTACTTTCTTGGAAGAAGGTTCGATGTCATAACCACGAACATAGCTGAGTCCATAAATTCAAAGTTGTTCATAGAAAGAGAGTGTCCAGTAGTTGCCATTTTTGATGCAATCCAGAGGATATTGCCACGGTGGTTCCATGAGCGTCGTATGAATTCAGATAATTTTACCACAACCCTTGTTCTGTCAACTGAAAATTATTGTGAGAGCGTATGGAACTATCAAATGCAATGTTTTCCTATCCTCTTAATGCTCAAGAGTTCATCATGCGCGGCTATGGTCTGGATGCCCTAGATAGCCTTCTTAGTAAAACTTGCAGCTGTAAAGTGCTTGACATTCAATATTTACCTTGTCCTCATGCACTAGCAGCACTGAAACACCAACAGAAGCCAGATTTTGGTTCAAGAATTTACATGGAACTTTGCTCCCCTCTCTATATGGAAAATCACTACATGCTGGCTTATTCGGAAACGATATATCTAGTTCCTTCATAAGAGCAATGGGCGATGCTGTCAGAGTTGGTTGACATTATCATCCATCCGCCATTCAAGAAGACATAAAAGACGAGAAAAAGAGTTAAGTGTATTTCATCAACCTATAAGGTTCCTCGAATTATAAATAAGTGCTCAATTTGCAAGCAACTTGGCCACAAGAGAAGCAGTTGTCAGAATCGATCATATGCAAATCTAGAAAATTAGGTTCGAATCGATCAGAAGCAAGAAGGCAAGCAATCTGCAGATAAGATCGGATTGCTTAAGCGACATAAGATTGCTTAAGCGATCAGCTGTTATCTGCAAATCTGAATAGCAAATAATCCACCATAGCGTCTTATTCGACAGTCTTTGAATAGCCGCTACCGCCGGAGTCTAGGATTTGGAGTGGGGTTGAATTTTCCTCCTGTTTGTGAATATCAACCATGATTTTATGTAAGGAAGCTTTAAGATCGAATATTTGTCGAAAATAAAGAACTTTTATCGTTGAAAATCGCAGAGAAATCAAAGGTGTTCATTGGTCGTTTTTTGGGTATATTGCTCGATTAAGCGATTTTGAAGGGTGGAGGTCATTTTTAATTTTTAAAATTTAAACAAACTTCCGTTAATTATAACATTACTGATATGTTTAAATCTTTTCAGTTTAACCCATTTTACATATTTAATTAATCCTAAGTGTGCCATGTCAGTTTTTCTAACTTAAAAAAAAATTGCAAAATATTTCAAAGTTATTTTTTTAAATGCAAACCTGGGAGATCTGGCCAGTTAAATTTCCTCGATGAAGAATGTTATGCAACATATTCTTTCTAAAACCAGTTGGATCTGCAAAGCCACGCTAACACATTTGAGTATATGCAGTTTATTTTTGCTTACCCACAATGTGAACTATTTTGCTTGAGCTTTTGATGTTGTACATAACTTTGACCGGTGATATTTTTTTGGACTAAAAGTGATAAGGGTATTAATTTACATTATTTACAGTCTAAATGGAGCACTGTATTTTTTATATGATCAATTATCCCGAATCAAATTGGTTGGCTCACTCAAGACATACTTCGGTAGCTCATACTTCGCACCTGCAATAGAAATTTCATTAATGGTTAACCTCTGTGGATGAATAATAGCGAAAGAGGTTAAGGGTGGAAAGAGGAGTCACCTCTCTCGTCATAGCAGATCGTCAAATCCTCACTCTGGACAATTACACCAGCACTATCGACAATTGCTTGTGCAAGGGTTATTTCAGCTTCAGCAGCAGCTCGAAGCGCATCCCATATCTCTGATAAGAAAACAATACCTCATTTTTCAGAATTATTCTTCCTCCACTCAACACTATGGAGTTGATTGCACATCAAAAGAAACTTTGCCTAATCACGTTGAGCTTATGTTCCCAGCAATAGCCAGAACAACAAGCATCATTGGTATACCTAAACTCTGCCACATTATTTTCCATGTGAACTTCTATTCAAACTTCAATTACCGAGTGTTTATTGTTTGTTTATTGTGCTAAGTTTGACAAACCATGTACAAAAAAAACCTCCAGCTGCTCACCGTAAATTTAAAAAAGAAAATGTCTACATATCTATGCAGTGCTAACACATTCCTAAACAGGGATGAAAGCGAAAAGTTTACTTTCTACAATTGAATCCTGATAAAGTTACAACCAGTGAAGCATCCTCACTGACTAACGAAGGTAATTTTTTTAATATGAAGGAAAGTTCCAAACCTACAAGGAATATATAGTACTCATGTCAACTTGGGATAAATCAGTAAAATCTTTCAGCTTATAAAGTAGCAGTAAGCTTAACAGCATGCACACAAACCACATAAGCAAATAATATAGATTAACCATAAACAGTGAGTTTAACTTTTAATGTATTGTCTCCGGGTGCAAGCACTGGGAGCTCAAATTTTTTTAAAAACATAAGTGATTCCTATCAAAACTGCAAATGTGCAGGACAACCATGCATTTTCACACATTGCACAAGTAGCTGGCACCTGGTCAAAACAATAATATAAAAACATACTACAGTAGACCAATAAAGCACTAAAATTTGCAATGAACTATCTTGGAAGCCAGCATCAAATTATTTTGACCAGTATAAAATGCCTCCTCTACTTCCTATTCTGTTGTTTCCAATGGATCATAGCTTATTCCTTGTAACTAAAGGTACAAGTATAGTACTTTGTCAAATGAGTATAGAATACTTACCTTTAGCGAAGAGGCTTAGAATGGTATAAAAAATTTCAAATACAAATCAACAGACTGAATCAAAATTCTCATTCTATGACTTCAAACTAGAAGCAGCAGGAGCCAACAATTTTTTATCATTGCAAACAGTTGAGTCTCATCATACCCCTTTAGTCACTTTCAGAGATCTCTTTTAAGTTCTAGTGTTGCTGTGAATTCAGTGCCATAGCATCAAAGAAAAAATGCTACAGTGTCACTATCTTGACAGAGTTAATTTAGCTTTTAATTAATGTTCATGCTAACTAGTAGGAAATTGTCTTCTTCCAGTGTCGATGTGATAGACATTACAATAATGCTAGAAAATGTTCTTAAAATTTTCTCTCTATACTTCCTCATAAGCAGGATCTCTACATCTACATTTATATGTTTTATCATTATTCACCAGTCTCCATCATTAAATTCCCTTCCCAAATAATGGTACACCCTATTAAATTCATAATCAAACATTTGCACATCCAGTTGATAATGGTTGCACACACATTGGCAAGCACATGCTGCCTACATTTGTCCACATCTGACTCAGAAATGGACAATAAGGAAAGATGATAATGACTTCTAACAAACAGACAAATCACATTTTCCGACTAAAATCTCAAAAGCAATGTACACTGTAAAAGAAAATGCTTAACAGTTGACATTACAAATAGTAATTAACTTGATAATTTTGAACTCCAATACCAATTGCCAAGTCCAAATTGTATCGCAAAACTGAAAATAACTCATTAAACACCATCAAAAAATTTGCTATCAACAACAGCAAGTACTGAAAGTAAATTACAGTCATGGAACCATACCTTTCCTACCACCATAGTGAGGAGCGGTATCCCAGAATTCATCTCGCAACTGCATAAGTTGTGTCCTCGTAATCGTTTCAGAATGCTTCCAAGGTTTTGGCTTCCGAATTTTCTTTGCACTCTCTGTGACCATATAGTATCAAAATCAAATTCAAACGAACTACTTTTCTCCACAATCAAGCTGTCAATTTCAAAAAGCTCACATAGGCACAAAAGAAAGAATATACGAGTTATATGTTTATGAAAATAAAAAAATCTCGCAGCAAAAAGCACTTAATCACATAAAATCTGGTAGATTCAACATTCCGATACAAAATTACATCTAAATTCATAATTTATTTCTTTCATTATGAATATCAATAATAAAAAAATAAAATAAAATAAAATCCGAAATTTGCAGGAGTTTAAACACCAGTTCTATAATACACATACATTAGCATCAAAACACTTTAAATTGCTGATTGATGAATAACAATAATTCCATAATGAAAATTTCAAAACATTGCAGATATTAAAACAAATAACTAATGATGATTGTTTAATGTTTACCGTCTCCTTTGGCGCGCGTGGATCCCGTACAACCCATGGAGAGAGCGGGAGAAATCTCGAGACGAAAAATCTGAAGCAATTGAATAATATTCAAATTTAATAAGAGTACCATATAAGATTTAAATAGATGAAATGAAAGGTGAGAGAAGAGAAAAGAAGGAATTGTAAATGATGTAAATGTATGCAAAGCGACAGGTATTGACGAGGAGGAGGAGGAGGAGGTAGAAGGAGCGAGAGGCAAAGGTCGTTACATAGTCTGCCTGCAACCTTTTTGTTTTGTTGGGAAGTGGGAGTCCACCCTTTCCTTCAGGAGATCTCACTCTCATCATTCATCATACACGCGCTTTGCCCTTTTTCTATTTCCCTTCCCCTTCTCTTCCACCTCAACATTTGCTTTCTTAATTAAATATTATTCTTTTTTCCTATTAATTGCCCACAGATTCATTGAAACACCTCTTAATAAGATAATTAATTATTAATGATGATGCATGATATATTCACTTAATATGAAATATTGCCTTGAACGTGTATCATTCTTTATTCAATTATTTATATATAATAAGAATTTGGAGTGATTTTGTTTCAAAAAGCAATAATAATACTCAGCAAATGAAAACTACTATTGAGTGATCGAGTGGTTCGGTGAGAACTATTAGGTATACTACCCAAGAGATTTGAGTTCGAATCCGGCCTTATCCCCTAATAGACTTAGCCACTTGAGTTGTTATTCGGTCTCTAATTTTAGAATCTCAAAGGATTAATTGAAGTGCATGTAAATTAGTCCAGATACCCTGATCATTAAAAATAAATAAATAATAACAATAATATTGAAATAAATAAATAATTGTTATTTTGTCTCTGGTTTTATGTATTATTGAAATTTCAATCTACAAAATTATTATTTATAAATTACTAGCCTTATTGTCGGATGACAAAACTTTAACCATTTGGATGAGTTACTTAGAAATCTTATGTTCGAGTCTCACAAAGTAGTTATCTATCATATTTGTGACTTACTTAGCTCATTAGACTTGTAGGGTGTTCAATAGACTCTAAAGATTAATTGAAGTGCGCGAAAACTTGTCTGAACGCCTCAGTTATAAAAAAAAAAAAAAATTATATTTAAAAACTAATAACATAACCTAATCTCATAATAAATTGCAAAGTCACATTATTTCACTTATTAAGCGTTGCTCACCCGAGTGATTTTTATACCTTAGATATTAAAGAATAATATTACATTTACAAAACATTATCATAGTATAATAAGCTTGCCTTTTCTTATCATATTTTATTTTCATTTCTCACATTCTGTTAGATGTAGAAATCAGATCGGATAATCTCTTTCTTTTTGTGACAAAAAGAAACTTAGACGTAACGTAAGGAATTGTTTAAGGATACATAGTACATACCACGTTTTCTGTAGCATGAGATAACCTCAATCCTCAAAGATGGGATCCTCCGTGATGAAGAAGAACAATTGTCCTTGAATTGCGGTGAGTGGAGATAAGAGTTTTTGAGTAAAGGTAACTGCTTTAGAGTTGATGATTGAGAGAGATCTTAGGACCCTTGGGCCTACCTTCTAACTGATAGACTTCTTGGGCTTGGGCTATTACTGACCCAATTATTACTATTAGACTTAGAGTGGAGCTATCGGCATTCCACTAATGGACTAAAAAAACCCATTTTCTAAAACATCCCATTTTAAAGTTTTAAAATTTATATATATATATATATATATATTTTTTTTTTTTTTTTTCAAGAGAGTTAACATTTTATTTCCATTCACTTATCCTTTATACCCCCACCATTGCTATTCTTAAAATAAAATTTTAAATAATTAAATTGAAAGTTAAAAAATCAAAGTACAAAGAATTTCAATAATTAATACGAGCATCATTTTGAAGAGCATTTTTCATATAAATAAATAGCATCTTCATTAATTTTTAAATATAAAGAACACAATTTTTGTTCAAATCCAATAGACTCTTTAAATTTAATAAAGATGCTCTTTATTTTTAAGAAAGAGACTCAATGGGAGAGAGAATTAATAAATAAAATGCATAGAAATTTGTAGTTTATTAATTAAAATTATGATAGAAAGTGAAATTTAACTCTCTAAATGTAGAGAGTCAAACTTACTCTCTAATTTATATTTTAAAGATAAAGAGTATGTTAGACTCTTGTTTTTATGGATAGACTCTTTATAATAAAGAGTTTTAGTCATATAAAGAGTCATTTGGATATACTCTTAAATATCATAAAAAATACATAAATTAAAATAGCTATCAATACTTTTAACAAAAACAACAATAAATTTATATGTAAAGCAGTTATAAACTTACAATTTTGTATTGCTTATAACTTGATATATCTCATTGCAAATCTTCTTCGTCCATTAAACTAATAGTAAATTAAAATTAATTTTAATAAATTACTATAAAGATAAATTTATCATTGTAAAATTTATTAAAAAGTGGGGTTTTTTTAATCCATTAGCAGAGTGTCAACAGATCCAGTCTTAGGCTTATTACCTATGATTAAAACTAGAGGGAAGTCATTTAAGCCGACCAATTTTTTGTTCTAAGTCCTCATTTAAATCAAATTAAGAGTAATATTATAGATCCCAAAAATCACTTACCAAATGACAGTGTTATCTTGTTTGGCATTGACATATCACTTACCAAATCATCACTTTATTTATATATCAACATCACATAAACTTACACATCATGTGAGATTATAATTTTGGGAAAACTTTTGGGATATGTAATATTATTGTAAAATTAATCAATGAAATTAGGTTTTGTAAATCTTATCATATTATTCCAAAAATAACCATTTTCTAATATCCTATGTTCTATTTTATTGAACTCTCACCCTTCAAATAGTTTCTAATGTTGTTTTCTAACTTGGGATTTATAAACTAAAAGAAAAATATAAAAAATAGCTGATAAGACAAATTAAAATTTATGTTTGGAAACGTATACCACTCGACTTTGGCCTATTATGGTAGATACAACAATAACAAATTGCACTTAAGGGTACGTTTGGTTCAAAGAATGTTATATTACTGAGAATATGATATTAATGGAAAGATAAATTAACTTGAAGATTACTATGAGGGGGTGTTTGGTTGAGGGGTATTGGAGATTAATAAGGTTAAATTATCTTATATTACTTGATTACCATGTTTGGTTGTTAAGTAATATAAGATACCGGTAATCTTCAAATACCAATAGTGGTTACTATTGATAATATTTGAGATAATCTGATTACCTCCATTTTCTTAGGTATTCTAAGATTACCAGGGTTATCTTTTTTTTGTTACAATTCTATCCCTTATTAATAAAATTTTAGGACAATAATACCCTTATGTTTAAATTTATTTACATGAATATGGCTTTTACTATTTTACCCTCAATTAATTAACTTTTTGGACAAATTTACCCTTGAATTCAAAACAAATTAGAGCCCACCCAAGCCGCCACCCCCAGCCACCTGCCGCCAGTAACCACTGCCACGCCCGCCATTGAAACGGGGCACAGAAGGCCAAAAATGGTCATCATGCACCGATATGGCCATTTCTGGCTAGATTTGTCAAGTCTAGCCATTTTCAGCCAGATCTTTGGCCGGAAATGGCTATAAGCCGCACGGAGGCCATTTCCTGCCTTTCTTGCACTATTAGGTTGCCTGCAGGTCACCGGCGGCCAGCAGTGGCTGGGTTGGTGGGGGTGCTTTGTTGATTTTCTAAACTTTTATTATGAGGTTGTTTTTGCTAAGTTTTTAAATGTATGGGGGTTATAATAATCCAAATAATAATAATATTAAAAAATAATATAATAATAATATTTAATTAGAGGACAATTCAGTAATTTAAATAACATACCCTCCAATTTATTCCTCCCAACCAAACATATTAATATAACATACTCATCAATTAACCAAACACATTTTTTTAAAGATTCTCAGTAATCTTCAAGGTAATCTATCTTTCCAGTAATCCAACATTCCCTAAACCAAATGCCCCCTGAATGTTTAGGGAAATATGTTTAGTTATGTTAGAATAAATTGGTAGGTATGTTATATTGATATGTTTAGTTGGGAGGAATAAATTGATGGGTATGTTATATAGATTACTAAATTATTCTCCTTTTTAAATATTAATATAATATTATTTTTAATATTATACTAATATTTAACATTAACGGCCATGGATCTGGTTATTTTCAGCCAAATCTATAGCCATCAATACGGTCGTGCTGGCGTGCAGCGGTGGTCCTGGGTGGCCTGCAATTTGTTTTAAATATAAAAGCATTACTGTCAAAAAAATTAATTAATTAGGGGTAAAATTGTAATGGCAGCATCATGTAAATTAATTTCAAAATAAGGGCATTATTGTCCAAAATATTTAATAGTTAGGGGTAACACTGTAATAAAATTAAGATTGCCAAGTAATCTTAAAATACCTAAGAAAATTGAGGTAATCAGATTACCACCTATATAACCAATAATAATTACTATTGGTTTTGAAATAATACCATAATCTTTTACTATTGGTTTTGAAATATTATTGGAATCTTATATTACTTGATAGATAAACGTGGTAATCTAACTAATATAAGATGACATTATCTGAGTAATGGGGATGCATGACGTCACTCTTAGAATTGCACTTTGAACATTTCATACCCATTAGATAAAGCAATAATGCTACGGACACCGATTAATCTCATCAAATTATTGTACCGACTTATGTGAAATCCGAATTAGACGCGGCTATGTTGGACACTATAACACGTCTTTCATGAATGAACAACCGTCCAACAATTATGGACACTTGTCCATATTTGATGGATGGATGTGCATTACAAATGGACGATTGTCCACCAATCTGGACGAAATTTTGAACGAAAATAACAATAGACTCTTGTCCATATTATATGGACGACAGTCCATTTCCTATGGATAGACGTCCACCTCGAATGGATGCCCATCCATAATGACTTGCAGTATTTTTAAAATGAGGAGGATGATTTTTTTTTAAATGACGGGCGACCATTTTCAATGGATGGCCGTTCGTATCAGATGGACGACCGTCCATTGGACAGCTAGGTAAATATATATATATTTTTTTTTTAATTTACAATTTTTTTCAATTATGCAAATAAAAAAGATATAGCTTGTCTTATACGCTTCTACAAATGAGCGCCAAAATTCTTAGATGAAATAAAATAATAATAATAAGACTTTATTTGCAGCATCATTTTAAAGCTAATACCTTGTAGCTTCATCGTCTCATCTTTTCTTCTGCGTGTTCTTGCCAGAGCTTGTTAGTCTTCCACGCGGTATTGGCAGTTTCTTCCTCAACAGCCACAACAACTAGCTACTGTGACAAGAAAGTTACTAATATTTTCATAGGAAAGCCACCAATTTTTTACAGAGAGAATCGTTTAGGGTAGAAAGGGAGATCAAACTTTTTTGAGGTTAGAAATATTTGTTGAAGTACTTAATAATTTTTTACTTAATTTATGCATTTATTTAGTTTCATATTCTATTTTGGATTAAATATATGTTACAATACAAAATAACTGATAGACAATATTTGTTGGCGATTGTTGTGAACCAGATTCATGAATGCGAAAACTAGTATTGGTTTTGCATAAAATTATGGAATATGGAAGAATCCAGTTTGCCTCATTCAATGATGTTGAGGTAAATTGTGTTCGAAACTTTAACTTTTTCGTTAACATGAATTTAAATTTGTTGTATCGTATTGTTTTTTATGATGTGTTGTATTAGTACATTCTAATTTTGTCCATTATAAAACCATTAAATCAGGAAAATGAATGTGATGAATTAGAAGATATGGGATGTGTAGAGGAAGAAGTGAATCCTTATATCAGAATGGTGTTTGATTTAGTTGACAGTCTAGTGAAGTATTACAAAAGGTATGCTAGCAAAATGGGTTTTGACTCAAGCTGTATCACATACTAAACAAATTAACTATACTACTACAATAACAACTAGTTATATATCATAGTGTAGGAGGTGGAGGCTGACTGGAGGAGGAGGAGGCTGTTGAGAAGTTCTTCATCATGGTGAAAATTTCTGTCATGCGTTCCCCAAGAGTGTCAACTGTTTCTTCTATTCTTGATGCGAACTAGTTAAAATCACTTTGCAACTGATCCTGTTATTCTTGCATTTTCCTCTTAATACTTGAAAAACTCTCCGCTTGTAACCTTTCGATTTGCTCAAATCTGCTTACAATTTCGTCTAAAGTATGAGGAGACATTTCTTGTACATTCTGAGAAGATCCAAGTTTAGTACCGTTCTTTTTCTTTTGCGCACATATATAGACTCGTCCTTGATTTACCCCTTCTAGAACAGGGACACCTTCCTGAACTGTTGCATCTTTCTCCATTTCATCCCTAATCACAAACCATTCTCCTACCATATTCTTTCTAATCAAACCAATTTTACACAATGTGACATCCCCCAACAAATTATTTACAGAAAACTTAATCTTATTTGCTTCATCATTAGGGGTGATATGAAAACCCAACTTCTCATCTATTAAAGTAACAAGCATCCCCCGATATATTTCTCCTTTATCTACTTGAATCTCTCCCAACTTCTTAATCAATAACTTTGCTAAATTTACTTGCCTTCTTGCTATGCTGCTTCTATGAACAATAAATCCTTAACCATCACATTTCCATTTGTCTCTTTCCTGCCATCAAATGTGAAAGTAAAAAATCTGTGACATACTCTCATAACATGATTCTTTAAATTTGTAGATTTATACCTATGTGAATGGTAAATCTCTATTCCATAAACATCCGTCCAAGCTTGTTTGGAATCTCACATTGTAGATACGTTATTCAAATCTTATCCAGGTTGCTAACTCTTGTAGTCTCACTATAAAATTTTGGTTCTTTAATCTAAAAAACATTTTATAGGTCAGAAAATCATCAGTATTTGTCTCCACAACTTCCAAACTACTAAAAAACTCATAGATCAAATGTTTGTATCTATCATATCTAATACTCACCAACTGTTCTCATTTCAAGTTACGGATCCAATCATTAATTTCATCAAATAAACCCAAACTTGTCATAAATCCTAAATCCAAACTTCTTCCAAGGCAAATATCTCTTTTTGTTATCTCCTTGTAATGTTTTTTATGTTGCAAGTCTCGAAATTGGACTCTGACAATTTGCCTCCATGAGGAATGGTTGTATTTTTTGCTCTTACCATTTTCTGCTTTTTTCTAAAACTTGTATATATAAAAAATTCATCATCATAATCAATGTGTACAAGACATTGAAAACAAATCAGTGCATACAACACAAATAAGTGAATATAAAATAGAAAAAAACAACCTGTATGAGCCTGAACTATGTTAAGTGCCATTAATTCATAAACATACCTACAACAGGAGGAAACAAAAAACTAACTGGTGAGGAAAGTCTAAGTCAAGTGATAGGGGTAGAAATTGAACTTGAACTAGTTGAAAAAGAAATCTATTTCAAATTTTTTTTTGGTAAGTATCTATTTCAAATATTCATTTACTTTCAGTTTATAGAAATATGAGTGTTTGAAATCCAATACTGTCAACATATGAAAATAGTATCAAAATCAATTTCTATTCATGCAGGCAAAATTTTCAAAAATTAATGGCTTTGAAAAACAAGAACTTCACTAAGATTTGAACATATATTATGTCAATTTTGGAATTTGTTATGAACAAAGCATCAGATAGATCACTTACAAGGCAGTTAAGTGTTTTGATGGTTTGATATGCAAATTTGTGGCTAATGGGATCAAATCCTAAGCAAGTGAAGATCTAATCAAGTACTAAATATCCCATTTAACCCCTTGATGTTTTCTTTTATTTTCACTTGTGTTGAATTGGGTACCCAAATATGTACATATATAAACAAACTGGTTCACTTTCATAATAGATTTCAGCAAATCCCACCTAATCAATTATTAGATTTGCATTCGGATCTTACCATATTCTAGTGAGAATCCACCAAACAAGTGTTTGAAAGTAACATGTAAATTAAGATTTGAAATTAACGTAAATTCATCTACCCACCTTACAGCTCAATCAAGCAAAATCATCAATCAAAACCAATAAAATCACAAAAATTCACATGATGAGTAGAAACAAAATAAACACAATAACTTACGAGAAGAACGACAAATGGCTTCAATGAAGAAGAAGAATGACAGATGAGGAACGAAGACGAAGAAGTGAAGAACTACAGATGTGGTTATTTTCCGATAAAGAACTTGGAGTTGGATGCAACTTTTTTCTTTCAATAATCCCAAGAAATTGGACGACCGTCCAGTTCTTTATCGCTTATTTTGATTTTTAAAACCTTTTTTGGGATCGCAAATTTTTAAACCCTAAGAATTGAAATTTAAAAAAAAAAAAAATTTAATTGCCTCACTGTTCAATGGACAGTCGTCCATCTGATGCGGACAGCCGTCCATTAAAAATGGCCGCCCGTCCATATAATATGGATGGACGTTCATTCTTATTCTTTCAAAAAATCATTCCTCCTCATTTTAAAAATACTATAAATCATGATGGACAAACGTCTATTCGAGGTGGACGCTTATCCATAGGAAATAGACACTCGTCTATATAATATAGACGGGAGTCTATTGCTATTTTCGTTCAAAATCTCGTCCAGATTAGTGGACGGTTGTCCATTCACGAAAGAGGTGTTATAGTGTCTAACGTGATTACGTCTGACTCGGATGCCACATAAGTAGATACAACAATTCGGTGAGATTAGTTAGTGTCCGTAGTATTATTGTAGATAAAGACACTTGTCAACCTTTCATGATCTCAACCTTAATCTCCATTTCGCATAAATCACGGCGTTTAGATTGCCTTACACCTAATTTCTGGTCATGCAACCCATTTGACTCTTTTAAGACTATTCCTCCAAAAAATCGAGTCTTTTACTTGAATTTTATCAATTTGGGCTGAAAACTTACTATTATAATAATACCGAAAATCTAACCTTATCTTTCTTTATCAAGATTATGCTCCTTAATCAACCCTTAAATTACAACACTTCGGAAATTTCCTTTTTATCATATTTTACATTTTTCCTTGAGAAGGGCCGGTGACACAATGCCGACCACCATTGACAAGGAGTTGAAGAAGTCGACGGAAGTATTTATTGACTCAGTAATATTACAACTCCTTAAACTGACGTCGTTTTGAGACTATACACGTTTACAAACTTCGCCTATCCTTCAAGCTTCATAATAGTTTCTTTTGTTGTTCCGTGTGGAGTTGAAGCCGTTGCCAACTGCCACGTCAGCTCACTTTCATTCACATTCACCAGTCATGAAACTAATTTAAAAACGAAAAAAAGAAAAAAGAAAAAAGAAAGGACGATTACCTGTACTCATTGTTTCATTTCTCCGCATTCTCTAGCTCCTTCTCGTCTCTCTCTTAAATTTAGGGATCAAAAAATTTGATCTCCGTTTTTTTTTCTCACTTGATAGCCGAAAAGAAAAAAACAGCTGTGAACTCTACTAACCAACCATGAATATCTTCAGATTAGCCGGTGACATGACTCATTTGATGAGTATTTTAGTTCTTCTTCTCAAAATCTACGCTACCAAATCTTGCTCCGGTAACTCCTTCACTTCTACCATTTCAATTTTTCAGTATCTCTTACGTTTGTTTATAGTGAACATTGGAATAGTAGTAGAGAATTAAACTCAATTGATGCTTTGATTCTCATTTTTTATTTTTCGGCAAATTGTTGTTTCGGATTTTTTTTGTTTATTGCTGTTGACTAATTTAAAGAAGTTTAATTTGATTTTTTGTTTTCTTTGTTCGATAGTGACGGAATATTAGGGTTTGGAAGCAGAATTAGAGAAAATGTGATTTAAAATTTCGTGTTCTGATTTGTTTCGTGGAAATAGAATCCATAAGTTAATGCAGCTAATTACTTGTGTTAGGGGCGGTTGAATTGAGATAAACTAACTAATAAGTCAATTAGTTTATAATTCAGCGAATAAGTGGCGCTTTAAGAAGAGCTGTGTCTACTGTCTGGGTCAATTCGGTTTTGTTTTCTCATTTAATTTTTTTTTTTTTTTTTTGGATTTATTTTTGTGATTTAGGAATTTCGCTTAAGACTCAAGAACTCTATGCGCTGGTGTTTTTGACGAGGTACTTGGATCTCTTCACGGACTTTGTCTCTGTATACAACACTGTGATGAAGTTGGTATTCATTGTGAGTTCTCTAGCAATTGTTTGGTGCATGAGGGTGGACCGAGTTGTGCGGCGTTCTTATGATAAAGAACTTGACACTTTTCGTCACTACTTTCTTATTGCTGCGTGTTTTGTGTTGGCTCTGATTTTAAACGAGAAGTTTACATTTCAAGAGGTGAGATTGTTGAATTTGCTCTGCCCATTTCATGCTTGTGGGGTTGATTGTTCTGTGAACTATATATATATAAAATTTTTTTTTTTTAATTCTTTTTGGTTAATTGGATTCTTGCCTTTTGCTAGAAAAAGGCTATTCTCAAGCAGTTTAGATTGAAATTCTGGTTACTAGTGAAGATTTATATTACATTTAATTATGGTGCTTCACTTGTATGGTAGAAATGAGATGGGTGATGTAGGATGGCTTGGAGAGAATTATATTTTTGCAACTTTTGGTACGCTGTAGCCTAGAGAGAACTAGCATTTTAGGTTGTTTTATTGTAGAAAGGGCTTTAGGACTTCGCCAAAAGTTGCAAAGATGAAATTGTCCAAACTGTCCAACGTCACAACAAGTTCTTTGCATAAGTCATCTGTATTCTTATCTACAATCAATATAATATGGTATAGCTTGCTATATGCTAAAGGCCCAAATATATTGTTTATGAGGAATAAAAAAGATGATACAATGGAAAAGCAAAAGAATGGAGGCAGATAGGGAATGGAACCCTTTTAAGCATTAACTTTTTGGCTACGATAGAATCTGTTAGTTTGTGTGTGTATAGGGAGAGTGGGGCTGGTGCAGGGTGATGAATATCCTTGACCATCATCTCCCTGCCGGCAATTTCCTTTTTAGAATTTGTTTATACCCATAAGCTGTGACAAGTTACCTCAGTTTTATTCTTATAGAGAATGGTGAGGGTGGCCATGGGGTATTATACAGCATTACCTCCAACTGCACACCAATGATGTTTGGGAAACAGAAGAATGATTTATACTCATTGCTGCTATTTTTTGCTGGTTTTTGTGAAATATCTTGATTACAATTTCATTTCTTTCCATTTTATTAGTTCTTGTTATGTTAGGACAAAAATATTTTAATTGTTATATATTAGTTTCAGTTTCCTAATAGCAGTATCTTTTGAGTTCCATGCAGTTGTTTTGCTGTACGTTCTTAAATCTGAACATACATATACATTTGTGCTAATGCAAATCTCCTTACAGGTCTTCTGGGCATTTTCTATATACTTGGAGGCAGTTGCTATTCTTCCCCAGCTAGTTTTACTACAGAGAAGTGGAAATGTTGACAATTTAACGGGGCAATATGTGTTCTTTCTTGGGTATGGATTTGTTATATATTGCTATGGAAGGTTCACATTGAGACTTATTCTCCATAAATGAGGCTACTTTATATTGGTTTGGTAACGCTGAGAGTGGTTTTCCCAATATATGCAGAACTATTTAGGCTTTAAACTAATGCTTTTGCAAGTCCATTGCATACTTTATCAGTTGGTGAGGCAGACTGTTTGGAGAACTTAATAGAGGAAATGGTATAGGAAAACCCATTTGTTTGCTTGCTGCATTAGTATGCTTACTTCGTGAATTGTTGTTTCAAAATTATGGAAAATGTTTTCTTTCTATTTTATATGTTTTTATCGCTATTTTTGGGATGTTACTTTGCAATGCAGAAAATACCTGCCTTGTTCAATGATATTATGTAAGTTCTTCACCTTAGACTTAGACATCTAGCCAAGCAATACAAATCCTGTTCATTAGTAAAAAGAAAAAAAAAAAAAAGATTTTTTTATTTTGTAAAGCTTTATTGCCATGCTTGCTCGGAGATGTGATTTTGTATTGGGACATGAGAACTTTATTTTCTTACAAATCATGCTGTTGATTTGCAGAGCATATCGCTCTCTTTACATTCTCAACTGGATATATCGCTATCTGACAGAGCCACGATTTTCTCGATGGATTGGTAGGCTTTATCATGAATCAAAGAGAATTTCTTTTGTTTTGGCTATTGCTGCATGTATGTTTCTCCTGACTTCCCATCTTTTATTGTTGATTTTTCAGCTTGCTTCTCCGGTATCATCCAGACAGCTCTCTATGCTGACTTCTTCTATTACTATTTCCTTAGGTAAAGATATATGTGGCACTAGTTGATTAATGGTAATTTTCCATATATTTTCCATGAAAATGTGTATAATGGAGATGTTCTTTACTTTGTTTGTGCAGCTGGAAGAACAATGCGAAACTACAGCTGCCAGCTTGACCAAGTAGAGATGTGTTGAAAATTCAATTCGTTGGGCTGAACTATTGTTCTAAGTGTTTGCTCAAAGTCGTTCATAAACTCACTGCTAGCTGATACTTGTGAAGAGGATGATACATGATATGTAGTTCTTTATTTTTGATTAGATTAAAAACCCATGTTTGGAGAGAGGTTTTTAGTTTTGAAATTTCTCCGGCCTTTACTCACTTCCTCTTAACATGTAGAGATGTTTTTGGGAAAGGCAAAATTCAGATCTGCCTGACATCATAGTTGGATTTCTGATGGGTATACAATTAATCAGATTGCAATCCTTTGCAATACACTCATTCCGAATTTTTTTTATAATATTATATAGCACCGAATTTTTTTACAGATGTAGCTTTTTTTTTATTTGAAACTCAAATATATAATTATTGATAATATTTATCTTTTCTGAATTTAATAATGACATTTTCGGTTAATTGAACTCGGGCTGACTATTAAAACTAAGGTTTTAAAACCCGACTTGGGGAGTGACTTGGTCAGGTCATTGGGTCCATTGTTTTAAAAAGCGGACTGGAGGGCAAACTGTTTTGATGGTCGGGTCACGGACCGGTTGGACCGCTGATTGGACTGTCACGTTGGACCGCTGATTGGACTGGTGACATCATTACATATCATGATGACGTCAGCACATTTTAAAAAAAATAAATTTTTTTATTTAGATTTCTATTTTTTAATAAGATAATAATAACTTAATTACTATTTAACATGATTCAAAGTTCAAATTCAACAACAATCTTAACATAATTTAAGTATTTAACAACAATTCAAAGTCCAAATCCATGTTTGCTATAATGTTATAATATTGACTAGCTACTCCAAACCTTATAACAAAATCAACATTGTGCTTACACACAATAAACTCTAAAACAAATTACACAAAAAACCTATTACAAATAAAATCAAAAATAAAATATTAGACTGAACTGTTGATACAGATTTATATGAATTTGTGGGAAGAATAAACCCAGGGGATTTTTCACTAGGGCTACATCTTCAGCAACCACCACCACTTGCAGGTTCAATAGAACTCAGTAGCTCATTGCCTCTTAGTTGCATGCAATGATCCTCTGCATCCGTTTGAGAACAAATAATCACAACAGACAATCCATTGTAGTGTGTTCTTTACATGATATTAACTGCATTGTCCAAAGTCATTCCAGGTATAACCTTCATTAATACTTGGACAATGATACAAACATGAGTTTTAATCACACATCCAGTAAATTAAACACTCACAGTTCCAAGATTGTAACCAACAGAACTAAGTGAATATGTAATAGCTGAAATATATTGATAAAGATGAAGCAGAATAGTCAAAGGACTGAAGCAAAATAAAGAAATATAGTAAAAGAGATTTTATCAAGCATTAAATAATAGAATACAACTGACTACAGTTGACGGTTGGGAAGATTTAAAAGCAATAAAAATAGAAGGGTTCTAAAAGATTAGAAGATACCATTGATGGAAAAAGCACCTTGCAAGGATGTCAAGATTTATATTTTTTATTTGATCTGATAAGTTTTTCAGATCAAATAAAAAAACTAAATCTTGTAACTTAGCAATGGGTTTATATCATCCCAACAGGCTACAATGTTTTAGCAACAACAAATAAGAAAAGAAATTAACATGTAAACTGATTAATATTACCTTTTTGATTGAAATAAAGAAATGCAATCACAAAGAAGAGAGAAAAACAATCAACATTTTGTCAGGTTTAGGGGAGAGAGTTTGCTACTTAAAAAGCAAATGATGCACGAATACAACGTTTGTGCATGATCACAAATAAAACCAGAATCGCTTGGATTGAACCTGTGCCACTTTTTAAAATAAATTTATTTAACTTTTATTTTTAATTAACCTGTCAATCCAACACATAAATCAATCCAACACAAACAAGATTCAAAGAAATCAAACACCAAGAATTACACACTCAATCTGCCGAAACAGAGCAATGCTTTAACCCAAGCCTAATCACTCAATAACTCTCTATAACCTGCAAGAAATCAGAGACCTATCCTAGCCTCAAGAAGGAAATGCAACCCTCTCACAAATCTGCCCAGATTACAACGAGAAAGACCCCAGCAAAAAGCCCCAAATCAATTGCTCATTCAAACACAAGAACCCTAACAATTTCAGACTAAAAAACCCAATAGTTGTACACCTTCCAGCTATGGTTTACCTTTAGATTGAAAAATGTAAAGGGTGTGAACTTAAATGTAAAGGGAGCGAGGAATGGCGTACCTAGATCGAGGAATGGAGCTATCGTCAACGAATGAAGCTGTCGCCGTCCATTTCTGACGAGGGAGGAACACGTCGTCGATTTCAGAGAGTTCAAATGCGATTTGGGTGGGATTTCAAAGAGAACAGAAGAAAAAGCCAAAACCATGACAATTTTGGCAGAGAATAGAGTGTTTGCTTAGAAATTTTCGTTAGAAAAACGGAGAAAGATTGAAAGAGAAGAACTGAAGATTGAAGAAGACGAGAAAGGAGCGTGAGAATGCGTCGCGTTTAGGATTTAGGGATTGTTAATATGTGGACCGGTTTTTCTGTCGGTCCGATTGGACTGGCGGTTTACTGATATTATTCGGTTTAAAACGGTTCAATGCATATAATGGTTTTGAGAGTGAATCGAACCGGACACGTGACCGGTTCACGATCCAACCGGTTGGACTGGTCGATTCGGTCTGGTTTTTAAAACAATGACTGGGTCATGGGATTGGCCAGTCAAACCGGTTCAATCGTCAGATCGATCTGTGATGTTATCATGTTAATGTCAATGTGATGACATCATCTGACATCAATATGACATATAAAAAAATAATAAAAAAGTGGTTTAATAGTTGGGTCAAATCGATTGGACCGGTAGTTCGTAACAAAAAAACTGGTCCAATTCCGGTTTAAATTGGGTCATTTGAGAATTCCAATTTTTTAGTCAAACTGACCTGACTCAATCGCCGATTTTCGATTCAATTGGTTGAACTGGCATGACAAAGCTAGGTTTAAAACCATGATTAAAACATCATTTTAAGTTTAAAATTAATTAAATAATCATGAAGTTTCAAATGTAATATTATGGTTTAAGAGATAAACCTATATGGAGTTAAGTAATGATGTTTTATCCAGTTAAAAGTTTTAAATTTGATGGGTATTTAATTCATTCCAAAATTAAAATGTTATTTTTATTGCATTTCCAAAAATCATGAACCCTTTTAACAACTCGAGCAACAATCAACGGCGGCAAAGCAACAATTTGACACAGGTGTCGACAACTCATTGGTCCAGTCATCGTGGCAGCCATTTCTGAACGCAACGCAACGCCACGACGCAACACGACACAACAAACAAAAATACATCCCAATGTGAATTAGTCTTTCTTTCATCAAAGCGTGTTTAAAAACAAAACCACTTCTTCTGGGTTTTATAATTTTCAACGCTCTATCTTTTACAAAACCCACTCCTTTCGGGTCTTCTCTTTTAAGTCAAATCAAAGCCTCCCCGACTTCTCAGATCTGCGTCCTCATTTCACCGTAAGTTTCTCAATCTTTCTCTCTTTAATTTAATCTTAGATCTCGTTGCATCTTTCTTGATTATGTTTCGGATTTTTTTTTCTTTCTATTTTTAGTTTTTGTAGACTGCTGTAGAATTCAAAGACTGAATATTATACTTTCATTTTGTGTTTATATTAATTGAATGCACGAGATTAATAATTAATATCTTTATTAATTTTGATTAAATCCATGACATTGCTTTTAATTATTGATTAAATTTCATCAGCTTCTCTTTCCAAATAGGGATAGTACTTTGTTACAATAAAATGGTATCACTTTATAATGCATGCATGATATTATGCAATTTATATTTGTTCACAGCTATTATACTGAGTTAAAATGACATCGTGGATTACAAAATCCGCTAATTTCATTAACTTTATTGGATTCTTTGTATGAATTGCTTGGAGTAGCATACTTTTGGTGAATGGGTAGTAAGATTTTTTGAATTGGGTGGATGCAGGTGATTTACCAAGATGGGGGGAGGATTTAGAGTGCTGCATCTAGTGAGACCGTTTCTTTCGTTTCTGCCTGAGGTTCAGAGTGCTGACAGGAAAATTCCCTTTAGAGAGAAAGTCATTTACACCGTTATTTCGCTCTTCATCTTTCTGGTGTGCAGTCAACTTCCACTCTATGGTATACATTCCACCACGGGTGCTGATCCTTTTTATTGGATGCGTGTAATTCTTGCATCTAGCCGTGGAACCGTGATGGAACTTGGGATCACACCCATTGTGACATCTGGACTCGTGATGCAACTTTTGGCTGGGTCTAAGATCATTGAAGTGGACAATAGTGTTCGTGAGGATCGTGCACTCATGTAGGTGTTGTAAACTTTGTTATTGTTTAGTTTAATATTTTCTGGTTGAAGTCTTTGAATCTCACGAAGAGTGTTGGAAGTATCACTATAGGTTGTTTATAGTTTAATTAGTGATGTGTCCTGGTTTGCTTTGTCATATGTTTGCAGGAGCGGGGCTCAGAAGTTGTTGGGTATCCTGATTGCTGTTGGTGAGGCGGTTGCATATGTACTATCAGGAATGTATGGAAGTGTTGGTCAACTTGGTGTTGGGAATGCTATTCTTATAATTGTTCAACTTTGTTTTGCTGGAATTATTGTGATATGCTTGGATGAACTTCTCCAGAAGGGATACGGTTTGGGCTCTGGGATTTCCCTTTTCATTGCCACCAACATTTGGTAGGCTACCATTTTTAAATTATTTTTTTGGCATCAACTTTCGTTATGATACTATGTGATTTTGGAATAATAAAATTTTTGGTTGACCTTGCAGTGAAAACATTATTTGGAAAGCTTTTAGCCCCACAACTATCAACAGTGGCCGTGGTGCTGAATTTGAGGGTGCTGTTATTGCATTGTTCCATCTGCTGATTACAAGGAGTGACAAAGTTCGTGCTCTCCGAGAGGCTTTTTACCGGCAAAACCTTCCAAATGTTACTAATCTGCTTGCTACAGTCTTGATCTTCCTTATTGTTATATACTTCCAAGGTTTCCGTGTGGTGTTGCCTGTGAGATCAAAGAATGCCCGTGGACAACAGGGTTCATACCCAATAAAGCTATTTTACACATCCAACATGCCTATCATTCTTCAATCTGCACTTGTCACAAATCTTTATTTCATCTCCCAGGTATGCAGAAGTACTCTATGAATGGGTAAACTCTATGGTTTACTAGCTGTATAATTACAAAATATTTAATACTTTTTCTTTCTGTACAGTTGCTCTACAGGAAGTACAGTGGTAATTTCTTTGTAAATCTGTT